CCAATCCCAGTTTCCTAATTTGTAAAGTGAGGGTATAGATAGGATTCCCACCTCTTAATTTGATTAATGAGGATTCAATTATATGTAAAGTGTTTTATCCATTGCCTAATTCAAAGTGTTTAATAATGTCATGATAATTGTGCAACAATGTAAAAAGCTTAGAGCTAAAAAAGAAAACTTTTTTCACTCAATATGCTTCCTTAAATAAACCTCAATTATGTGTTTTTTACCTTTTTATTAACTTCTTCGGAACAAATTTAATTTATGAGAAAGTCAGCAACATAGATGAAGAATGTTCACATTGATCATGGCACTATTTTATCTATTTGAGTTATGCCGTATGGAAATTTCTCTGGTAATACACTTATCAGACTCTCTACAAAATTTCTAGAGTGGATTTTGTTTGTTTTGTTTTTTCCTTCTGCGTTTACTTTTTTTATCATACTAGTTTATTTACAAAATTCTAATACATTGTTTTCCAGACCAGATTCTTCCAATTTCTCTCCCACTCCCCCACCAATAAAATTGTACAACCCCATGATTAATCTCCCCGTTACCCCGCACATCCTCATCCTTCTCCTTCCACCCTTCCCCTCCCCCTTGGATCCTCATACTCATTCTATAATAATGGTTTTATACAATATTTGTCTTGTGTGACTGATTTAGTTCACCCAGCATAATGCTGTCCAGTCCCTCCCATGTTAGGTAGTAATTTACAAAATCATTGTTCCTGTGTGCTGTATAGTATTCCATTGTGTGAATATGCCAAAATATCTTAATCCATTCAGTTGTGATTGGACATCTGGGCTGTTTCCATGTTCTTTTGATGGTGAATAAAGCTGCTATGAACACTGGTGTACAAGTCTCAGTTTGTGCCCCAGTTCTCATTTTTTTCAGGGTATAGTCCAAGCAGTGGAACAGCTGTAACTTCTATGCTCAGCTTTTTGAGGAAACGCCAAACTGCCTTCCAGAGTGGTTGTACTATTTTACAATCCCACCAAAAATGTATAATAGTTCCTACCTCGCCACATCCTCTCCAACATTTATTACTTGCTGTCCTGTTAAACTTTGCCACTGTTACTGGAGTGAGATGGTATCTCATTATGATTTTGACTAGCATCTGTCTTATTGCCAGTGATTTTGAGCATTTCTTCATGTGTCTCTTTGCCATTCAAATATCTTCCTCTGTGAAAATTCTTTCCATGTCTTTTGCCCAGTTTGTAATTGGGTTATCAGTCTTTCTTTTGTGGAGGGCCGGGAGTATTCTATAAACTTTCATTATGAGATTCTTGTCTGAGATGATATTACTAAATGTTTATTTCCAGTCAGTACTTAAGGATAGTTTGGGTAGAATGTTGAATGATCCAGGAAGTATCAAAAGAAGGTGGAAGGAGTACACAGAGTATCAGAAGTAATTGGCTGACACAGAGGAATTTCATGAAATAACATATGAGCAAGAGCCTGTGGTGATGAAGGAAGAAGTTCAAGTTGCTCTGAAGGAATTGGCAGAAAACAAGGCACAAACAGACGCTGCTCTAGATATGTTCACTAAGTTATGTCAGGAAATCTGGAGGACAGCCAGCTGGCCAACTGACTGGTAGAGATCGGTATTTGTTCCCATTGCAAAGAAAGGTGACCCAACAGAGTGTGGAAATTATCGAACAATATCATTGATATCACGTGCAAGCAAGATTCTGCTGAAAATGATACAAAAATGCTTGGAACAATATGTCAATAGAGAACTGCCAGATGTGCAGGCTGGATTTAGAAGAGGTCGTGGTACTAGGGATATTATATAGCTAATGTTAGATGGATCTTGGCAGAAAGCAGAAAATACCAGAAGAATGTCTATCTGTGCTTTGTTGACTATGCAAAGGCTTTTGACTGTGTGGATCACAAACAACTTGATGGCACAGAAGAATAACAAGAACAACAGGTTTTCTTTTCACTCTGTTGGAAAAAGTTTTTGATGCACACAGGGATTTGATCTTTAGAAGGTCCCATTCACCAATTTTATCCTCTTCAGATTGTTCATTTCTGTCTGTATTTGGCAGAAATACAGACCTTTATACTGTGGACTAGGGATTCGAAGCTTGATCCCAGTTTGTCTCTTATGAACTTTATGGTTTTGGGCTTTACTCCCAGGTCTCTGATCCACTTTGAGTTCATTTTTGTGTTTATGGACCTTGTTTCAGCTTTCTGCAGGTGGAAATCCCATTTGCCAGAACCATTTGTTGAAGAAGTTGTCCTTTCCCGATTTGATAGCTTGGATTTCATTGTTGATTATCAGTTGACCATAGATAGCTGGATCTGTTTCTGATGCTGTTTTGGTTACTACTGCTGTGTAGTAGGTTTTGAGGTCAGGGGGTGCTATGCCTCCAACCTCATTTTTGTTTCTCAGAAGTGTTTTTCTTATTCTGTATCTCTTGCCTCTCCAAATTAATTTTGACAATTTCCCTTTCAATCTTCTTGGAAAATGAATTTGGTATCTGGATTGGGATTACATTGAACATGTAGATTGCTTTTGGTAAGATTGCCATTTTCATGATATTAAGTCTTCCTATATCCATGAACAAGGCACATTTTTCCATTTTTTTAGGTCTTTTATTATGTCTTGCAGAAATGCTCTGTAATTTTCTTTGTATAGGTCTTTTGTTTCCCTAGTTAGGTTCGCTCCCAAGTATCTCAATTTGTGGTTGGCTATTGTAAATGGTATTGCTTTCTTGATCTCCTTCTCTGAGTTCTCTTTGTTACTGTAGAGGAATCCTACTGATTTTTGGATATTGATCTTATATCTTGCCATCTAGAGTGGATTTTAAGCTCATTCAAAAGTTTTTGATGACTGATGGCTCTTTAGGAGCTGTGTGGGGAGCAGGGGGAGAAAATAGGTCAAAGCAGAAGAAAAACAAAAGTATGCAAAGACATTATAAATTACCTACCCAGTCTTTTCCTTTTCAGAGAAGAAAACTAAAGCTTTTAAGAATAGTCTATTCTAAAGCAATGCAATCAAATGTATCTAGCAGAGGAAGAAGGAACAGAGGTTTGGAAGTGAAAAAGGAAATGACAGGAAATTAAAGTCAAAGTGTTGTTTTACAAGGAAGAAGGAGGAGCAGTTGTTCTTGTGCCCTAGAGTCAGAACTGACCCATAGCTGACCCTTCAGTGGGTTTTCAGGGGCAGTAAATCTCATGGAAGGAGACTGCCCATCCTTCTCCCACAGAGCAGCCGATGGATTTGAACTGTGTGCCTTTGAGATTGCAATGTAGCCTCTTACCACTAGGCCAGCATCTTATATTAAGTTCTACTGGATGTTGGGGAGCTGAAACAAAAGAGCTTTGGGCTGGGAGTTCTTTCTTACCGACCTCTAGCATATTGAGCTACTGGGACATAGTTAGTAGGGAATGCCGCTCACTCACAGGCCTCTCTGGTGCTTCAAATCCACCAGTAGATCCAGGAGAAAGAAAGACTGACAGTCTCCTCTCGTGCAATTTACCGCCTTGTAATCCCAGTGGAGAGTTAGCTGGGAGCCAGTTCCAGTTCCACGGCAGTGAGTTTTGTTTATTGGGGTGCGAACTGAAAAGTTGTTAGTTTGTCGAAGAAAGATAGGCAGTCTCTTCCCATATATTTACAGCCTCAGAAACCCAGTGGAGTTTGTCCATGAGCCTGAGCTGGCTGGACAGCAATGAGATAGCACCACTACATCTATCACATTTATGAAAATCTCTTCAATCTTTATTTACTTTTTAAAAATTGAATAGGTGGTAAAATAATTCCTAAAACTGTTCTAGCTTTAAGATTCCATGGTTTGTTTTTCTACCCTGTAATAGTCATTGTATAAGATATAAGGAAGTCCAAGAATCAGTTTCTGTCTAGTGTAAATGAATAGATTAGATTTGTTTAGATAAAGGGTCTTTTATACACAGGACATTACCAAAAAGGAAAAAAATTAGACTTAAAAATGAATAATAAGTTTGAAGGTGAGCTTGGTTAAAATGAAGTAGGAAAAAAATATTGTTAATACAGAGAGTAGGCTGTGGACGGTGGAGGTCCCCTCTGGATGTCAAGCAGTTAGGAGCTGTTAGGGCACTTGGAGAAACTTTACTGATACAAATGGTTATGCACCAGGTTGCTGAGAGAAAGATTGGTGATTCAAGCTCACCCAGTCACTGCACTGGAGAAAGTCCTGGTTACTTCCTTATCTGCTTCTATCTGTAAAGACTGCAACTTAGAAAAGCCTGTGGAGAGAGCTACTCGGTCATATGAGTTCACTGTGAGTTGAAATCAATTTGATGGCACCTAGCAAAAGCAGGGAGGACTGAGCAGGAGAGTGTTCTATAATATCAAAGGGAATTAGCAAGAACAAGTGTGTCAGAAGCAAGCAAATGTGGCCAAAATTTGGCAAAGCCAATACTTCGTATATCTGGGATCCTCATTCAAAATGCACAATTCAGTATTCAAGGAAGAAGAAATTGTCATTCCATAACTATTTATACTATGTGCTTATCAGACTACAATAACAATGGAAGAAAATAATCAGGTAAACTGATTTTAATATTAGGAGCTCTGATGGTGTCATCCATAGGGAGATGCACTGACAACTCACAGGTCGTTCTTCTCTGGTGGTTCAAATCCAACAGCTGATCCAGGGAGACAGACAGGCTATTTCAGTATAGATTATTTTAATGGATATATTTTTTTTAAAAAGCAAAACTAATTGTTTCTTAGACTCAGCCTGTATTTCATGTTTTTCCTTTTGAGACTTCACAGCAGACCCTAACATTGGGCTTCTTCTATTTTGCCCATTTGGCCGTGTTACACCCGGACCAAGTCAGAAAGGAATCTGAGACTTTTACAATGGAGTGACATTTACATGGGCCAATCGTTTAGTCGATTGTGAATATTCAAGTGCATTTTTAATTATGTGAAAATGTTTTAAAGATATTTGGTTTGCACGCTAACTGGTTTGCAAATAACAAGTATTTGTTTGTGTGTTTTCTTCCAGGTTCCTTCTTCCCTGACTCCAGGCCCTCGGAAACTGTTTTTAAAATAGCATTTTGGCTCGGATATCTAAACAGCTGCATCAACCCCATCATATACCCGTGCTCCAGTCAAGAGTTTAAAAAGGCATTTCAGAATGTCTTGAGAATCCAGTGTCTTCGCCGAAAGCAGTCTTCCAGGCATGCTCTGGGCTATACGCTACACGCACCCAGTCAGGCCCTCGAGGGGCAGCAAAAGGACATGGTGCGCATTCCAGTGGGCTCTGGAGAGACCTTCTATAAGATCTCCAAGACCGATGGGGTCTGTGAGTGGAAATTTTTCTCTTCTATGCCCCGTGGATCTGCCAGGATTACAGTACCCAAGGACCAATCAGCTTGCTCCACAGCCCGGGTGAGAAGTAAAAGCTTTTTGCAGGTCTGCTGTTGTGTGGGGCCCTCGACCCCCAGCCTGGAAGAGAACCACCAAGGTCCAACCATTAAGATGCACACCATCTCCCTCAGTGAAAATGGAGAGGAAGTCTAGAGAACAGGAAAGGTCAGAAGAGAGGAGGAATAATCTTGGGTATCCACTCCACTTCCCACTCACAAGGCCAGTTCATTTTTCCTGAATGACCAGACAGGACCATCAGAGGAAAGGACCAGCCGGGAGTGAGATTGGGAGGGAAGCAGGGGGTAGAGCGCAGGGAAAGAGGATGATTGTCGCACAACCAACCAGTTCGAAAGGATGACAAACGGCAATTCCTTGCTGCAAATCCTTTTTCGGTCATCCTCTGAGCCTGCCTTTCATGCCTGCCCCTTTCAAGGGAAAACACCATGGGAAACAGAAGTCCATACACCATCCAGAAAACTATAAATATAGGATTATGATTTCATCATGAATATTTTGAGCTCACATGCTAAGTTTGGAGTTATTTCTTGATGGCGTGAGGGAAGTTTATTTTCGGGCAAAACTCTATGACAGCCACATTCAACATTTATGGGGAGTCTGGAGAGCAAGAGTGTTCAGATGGTGGCCGAAACCCAGGTACACTCATTTTAGAGCAAGTGTTCAAACTCCACTGGATGTGACACATCCAGTGTCTTGATGTGGGTGAAACTTAATGGGATTTATATCTTGCTGCACTTCAACCTGATACTGGACCTAAATCCCTTAGGACGAGTGTGAAGGACACTAATCTGCTCTGAATCTAAAGGAGACCAAGTTTTTACTTTTGGAGAAAAGTAGGTTTGTCTTTTGTTTGGTTCTGGAGACAGTTGCATCAATCAGATGAAGATGGCCTCTCCTGATCAAAGACAGTGGAAATAAGAGTCACAATTTCAACTTAATTTTTAGGAACAAAAAAATCCACTTCTCTGTTATAAGATTAAATGACTAAATTAAGGTTTCTGTAATATATGTATATAAAGATCAAGAGGTTGGGGTGGGTTAGAGGGTGGCCGCTAATTTCATACCAATACAAAAAGCTGCCAAATTACTCCACAACCTTTTTGATGTGGCTTGAAAAGAGCATTCTTGGCATACCATTTCTCATTTCTAGGAATCTGTTGTGAAAATACAGAGTCAGTCATCGTTTAAAAGGCACATTGCGACTTCCATTTTCTCATCTGTTTTACTGTTGCCTAATGCATGAGGGTTAGGGTCCGGAATGCACCTTTGGCATGTTGGCATGAGTCATTTGTGATCCAAATACATCCATCCTCCCTGGACTTACAAACATAGGAATGCTTAGCTCACTACAGATCCTGAGTGTTCAACAGAAGAACTGTGTAAAGTAGGAGCGCCCAAGCTGTTTGCAACAAAAGTTCATCTATTCTGGTAAAGATGCAATAGCCCGCTCCCTTCGTCTATTCTCACTTTCAATGAGAATTTGGAAACATGCTGTGGGTTTTTTGGGTTGATTTTTTTTTCCCTTTATGTACACCAACTTGTAGTGAATCTTATTACTAAAGATTAAGATGGTGTCTACAAGTAAAGTTTAATACTAAGCTCATCATTATGCAATGTGAATTTGAAAGTCTGTTTTTATTTTCAGACTAATTATGGACTAGAATCACTGGTCTAAAACTACTGACCATTTCCATGGCCCCAAACCCCCATTTCAGGTAATTACCTCCAAGAATTCCAAAGCCAGTTGTAGCTCTATGTAATCTTTACAGCAAGGATTGGTGGCCTCACACCCTTCTTCTTACAGCCCTTGCAAGAATACGTCCTTAAATTCTTCTGAATGAAAAATCTCTTCGCACATTGCCGTGTAGGGTCTTCTTTTATTTGGACTTAGCATTGGCTGTTGACTGTGTTTGGACTTAGAATATTTAACTGTCTTGTGAAGTTCTTTTCTGGAGAATGTCTTCCATTTTTCCAGGAGCATCTTCCCCTGGCCCTGACATGTTGGCTACATGTTAGACTCCGGTCAGGTATCTGCATACTTTGTGACAGCTCCGCCCAGAGAGGGTGTCCTATGACGGAAGGAGGTGTCTGGGAAGGATTTGAATGTGTAAACATTGCTTTTCCCTCTGCTCTAGGAGGAAGGAGTTTCAATGATAGGCACCTTCTTTAGGATCTAAGAAAGTCATCTTTTGTCCTCACTGTGGTTACAGGAAGAGCGTTTACATGGGAATAACAGTACTAGCACCTCTTCAACAAAACTGGGCCTCCATGCTAGAGGTGATCTCTAAACACCTTTACAGACAAATTTTAGCTATGGGAAGGGTTAGAAGCTCTGGGAAGTTGGTATTAATACCATTCCTAACCCAACAAAACAGCTAGAAAATATTTGGTCATCTGAGAAAAGCTATCATCATTTTATATTGTCAAACTCTTCAGAAATAATTATCTGATGCATGCTTCTCTAGCCCTACTGCCTCAGTGCAATCAAACTTTTAACAATTTTTCCCTTTCCCTTAACATGATATGAGGTATAAGCACACCCAGTTCATAAGATTTTGACCAAAATGTGATCAAAATAGAATAAACAATATACAAGTTCTTTTTTTCCCTCATGAACAACATTCTCTGTACCTTTAAGCATGCCAAAGACCTATCTAAAAACTGTTACAGTTAAACAAATGATTGTCATGTTTATACTTCCATGCTTACTGATTCTATTTGGAGTTTGAAGAATTCACCCAGAGTAACAGCGGGTAAAATGCCTTCTGTAATCAGGCAGTGTTTCATTCTGTTGTATCCAAGGTTGCTATGAGTCAGAACCAGCTCAAAGGCACCTTCCAATAGTGAGTTCTAAATGCAGCCCCAGCAGGGCTCAGTTCAGTGCTCAGCAGATAACCACAAAGGTCAGTGTTTTGAACTTGCCAACCTCCCTGTGAGAAAGAGATAGGGCAGTCTGCTTCCTTTGTCCTGTGGATGTCCTGTAAGTTGGAATCAACTCAAACGGCAATGAGAATGTGTTCTAGAAACAGTTGCTTTGTGATTGCCTAAAGATCACTAAATTTACTTGATGTTATTGTTGTTGTTGTTGTTGTTAGGTGCTATTGAGTCAAGTATGACAAATAGCAACTCTGTGAATAACAGATCAAAACCCTTTCTTACCCTGCACCATCCTTATCATCCCTGACATATTTGAGTCCATTGACACAGACACTAACTCAATCCATCTCATTAAGGGTCTTCTTCTCCTTCATTGGCTCTCCATCTTTCCAGGCATGAAGTCCCTTTCCAATGAATATCCTCTCCTAACAACATGCCTGGGCTGCTCCTTGGAGTCAAAGATTCCGAAGTTTTGTCTGACATACTTTGGGCATGTTGCAAGGAGGGACCAGGCCTTGGAGAGGAACATGATGCTTGGGAGAGTGGAGGGACAGCGCAGGAAAGGAAAACCCTCAATGAAATGGATCAATTCAGTAATTGTGGTGGTGGGATAAGGGCGTCAGAGATAATGAGATTGGCACAGGATAGAGCAGGGTTTAGGGCTCTTGTACATAGGGTTGCTATGAGTCGCAAGCAAGTCGACAGCACATAACAACAACATGTGTGAGATGAAGCTTCACTGTCTTTGCCTCGAAGGAAAACTCTGGTTGTACTTTCTGTTTGTTCTTTTGGCAATCCATGGGATATTCAACACTCTTCTCCAAAACAACTCAAATACATTAACTCTCCTCCTGTCATCCTTTATTCATTGTGCAGCTCTCAAATGTATAGCAGGTGACTGGAAAGATGGTGGATTGAACCAGGTGCACTTTAGTCTTTAAACTGACGTCATTGTCCTTCCAAACTTTGGAAAGATCCCTGACAGCAGACTTTCCCAGTGTTTTCTAGGATAGGCAAAATTTGAGTGTATTCTGCAATTTAAATTGTGCACATTTAAAGACACCTCGAATCTCTTTATTCAAAGATTTCCTTGACACTGCATCTGAGAGGATTTCAGAAAGCCATGTTGCCACCACAAACTTTTCTTCCTTCTGCCTCTTATATTCTCATATAAAATTGCTTCGTCCTGTAATTACTTAGTATGTACTACCATTCTCCAAATATCAAGGCTTCTAACTCTCTCACCACCTACTCTCACCATCCATGAAAAGCAGTAGTATAGGACTGTTTTCATTTCCTAGTACTGCTACAATGGAAATACACAAGTGGATGGCTTTAACAAGTATATTTATTTTCTCACAGTTTAGGAGAAATTGGAATTCAGGGCTTCTAATGGAAGGCTTTCTCATCTCTGATGCCTCAGGAGGAATGCCCTGTTGTCCTTTGTGTGGTGAGGTATCTACTTTTCCTCAGTTTTACTTCTTGCTTGTCCTAATAGTCTCTCTATATGTCTCCAAGTTGATTGGCTTAAAATACATTCACAGCCTATGGACAAAGACAGCCTATTTCCAAATGAGATTACAACCATAAGTGCAGGATTTAGAATTTTAAATATTAAAGAAGCATAATTCAATCTATAACATTGAGTAAATATTCTTTGAAGGCTTTTTCATAGATCCTATCATGTACCAGGCACCCAAAGGACATTTTACATCCATTGTTTCTAAACCTCATAGCAACTCTACAATTTCTATTTTAGACATGGAAATCTGAGATTTGAGAGCAGATTAAGACTCATCCAAGGCCAAGGAGGAATCGTGGCTCAGACTTCAGTCTCCCTAATGCTAAAGCCTACACTTTTTCACTAACAATGGGAGTAAGAATCTTCCATTTGGGAGATGGATGTGCTTAAGATAAGAAGCTATTCCCCACCACATGCCTGCAAGCCCAGCAGTGATCACGCCTTGCCAAATCATTGTTTCTGAATATGATCAGCCAGCTAACCTTTCCTGTCTTAATTTTGAACTAGTGAAGAGAATAAGTAATCACATAATGAGTTCACATGTAGAAGCAAAAGGCTGATAAATTGAGGAGATTCAATTCCTGCTTGCAGAAGTATTACATAATTTATTCCTACATTAGAAACACAACATCTTTTTCACAAGCCTCTACAACTCCTTAGATTGAATTGTTACTTCAAGTATAGTAAAAGCACTGTAGTTTTTAAAATAAAAAAAAGAGAGAGACTATTCCCCAACTTTTTAATATTT